CCGAAGATTTCTACCTACCCTGCATTGTAAATGTCTTTCCTGTCCCAGTTTGTCCATAAGCAAAGATGGTGCCGTTGAAACCATTCAGTACAGACTCTACCAAATCTCTGAATGTCTCATCATACAAGTCACACTGTTTTGAACTGAAACAAACATCAAAGGTAATATCACCAAAAAAACACACAAAAATAAAAGGATTTGAATAAAACAAATTCAATCTTATGTAATCAAATTAAAACAATCATAAAGTTGCAATGAGTATGAAGCTTAAAGCAGGAATAAACTTGATACTAATATGAAAACAATCATAATTCATTTTTAATATGTTTTTTAAAGTACCACTGTCTTCCTTAAAGAGGCCAAAAAGTTCAAACTTCATCAAGAGAAACCTTTTTTTGTAAATCTTTTCCAGAATAAGTGTTTAGTTACTATATCTAAAACTTACTCCCAATCATAGACAGAATCAAATGTGAATTTTTTGGGCAACTCTCCAGGCTTGGGGCTCTTGACTTCTACAACACCCCCTTTGACATCCATTTCCACAATCCTGAAAAAATCAGAAAAATTAATCATCCAAATTAGCTATAACGAAATCCCATTAGCTATGATGAAATATGAAAAATGGCACATCTTATGGTCTTAGTAGTACCTTGCCAGGCATTAGGTAAAATAGCATCAATATACATTAGACATTAAGCATATGGCATACATCTACATGCAAATAATTCTGAGTTCATAATTACTTTTTAGTAAAAAAACAATATGGAAATTACTGAATCAAATTCCATGGGTTAAAACAATATCAAATATTTCCTTTGGTTCTCAATATCATTTATTTTCCCCTAGGTTCTCAATATTATCTTTCACCATACCACCTGCAGTGTCACTGCTTTTACTGACAAAATACAGCAATGCGAGGACGTCAAAATAACTGTTTGCAGATAATTCAACATATAATGTACCTACAAAGTTCTACATTTAATGATGATCCAAACAGGTATATTTTGAGTGTTCCTTTCAGTAAATATATGTGGCATTAAGCCACTGCTAACTGTAATCATCACTTATGAACAGCTTGGGTAATGTTGCTATCAAGTTAGTAATGTCACTGAGATTTTGATTGCAGTAAAGTATACAAACCTTTGATGTCCTTGTTCTTTTTCCTTTGAATTTAAAGGCCGGCATCTTATCACCACTTTGACACACTCTGCACCTTTGCTAGAACCTTTAGATTTCGACTGGAATTACAACGTATAAAATACAACATTAAATGTATTCTGACAATATAATAGAGATTTTTTTCTTGCAGAAAGCCACTGCAATGAAAGAAATAAACAATACTAGTAATGTCACTCATAAAGTTTGACTGGAGCCCGATACAAAACGACAGAAATTACAGATTACATTGGAATAAGTCACAGCTCCATGCAAGACCATTCATAAGACAAAAAACATCAAAACACCTTCATTAAAAAACTAAAACCTTCATTTGAGTATCTTCAACTAAGCAAATACCTGCTTTTTAAATCTCCTTGTGAGGGCACTCGAAGATCTATAACTTACTTTACTACTGGTTGCCATAGCCAACTGAGCAGATACTACTGGTTCTACACAGAGTTAACATATATGTACACCTCTCAAATTACTTCTTACAAGTTCCGACTTAATGCAATTTAGTGATCCCAGTATGGGGATGATTTGCCATCCACATTCAAACCATCCAAAGATCAAAACTGATGGTGAATTGTGGCTATAAGTAAGATCCTATTTTCTACACATGTTCAAGGCTAATAGTTTTATCATATCTTAATAGCTGCAGTATGACAAGAACACCATCCAAAAACGTGTTGACCAAATGATGCCCTTCTTCCTGCTGTGCATGTTGCATAATGAAAATATACAAAAATATCTGATCCAATATGCCTTCCTTCTGATAAAAATATTTATAGAGATGTACATGCCTCAGAAAGGTCATTTAAATGGGAAATGAAGCTGGAACAAAATTCAATGTATTAACCCTCATGTGGAGACTGCTTGATTAAAAGAAATCCATATGATGTGATGCGACCAATAACCCACCTTTATTAACTGACATAAACAATGGATATTTAATCTACGGTGTAAAGGAGGAAATAGAAATGTCCGGTAGAAAAAAAAAAAAATCATCTGCACCATTATTTTATCTGATTAAACAAGTAAATTAATGAATGAGTGAATAAGTGAATAAATAAACAAATGAACAAACCAGTTTTGTCAATGTGCTGAACTTCGAAAACAAAATGACTAGATATATTGAAAATATCTTTTTCAAAACACAGTTATATAATACAAAACTTCATAAAAAGAAATGGCAGGGCTCCGGGGTGTTAAATGTGGACTAGATGGTTAATTGCTGCTCCAAACTTAAGCACTTAAAATTTAGACAATTTCCAATCATTTGGAATGGTTAAACTATTATCCTTGTTTAGATATTTACAAAGAACAGATCTACCAAATCTACAGAAACTGAATTATCCATGGGTTCTGAATTATGAATCCTTTTTATTATTAATCATGCTTTTCATACCATGGAAGGGCCTATGAACCAGGTTTACTGATATCCAACTGCGAAGATGGCTGTAGGAGATTCAGGGATCTCATGTCCTTATGACTTTATATAAATCATGACTTGAACTTCAACACACACACACAAAAGTTTCAACCTGTACTTGGACCACTGAAAAAACAAGTCGGCAATAGCCCATATTTTTAGTCAATTCAGCCATTAGCTAAGTTGTTCCTGATACTGCAAAACAGCAATCAATACAAGGCTACTTCAGAGCAATGGTACTTGGTCTTATTATTCACACTTACCCACTATTCAAAATCAATACATTAAAATAGGAAGAGAAATGTTTGGTAGAGAAAACAAGACTTATAATATCAAAATTAAAAAGCATTATTTGGTTTCTCGTTCCATTGGGAAATAAAAAAAAACGATTCACCATGAGATGGCTATCATATAAAAAGAATCAGAATCTTTGTGACCTACAAAAATTTGTAAAAATTACATGAGTGAATAAAAGATGTAACACTTGACATTTTCTTTCCTGTCTCTTCATCAACTTCAAGAAGCAACCACATTTATATCAAAGATCAATAAGCTCATCAGAATGATGTGACCAACAACTATCCTCCACACAAATCAGGAATCAAATTACTTTGATCAGTTTTAGTGTTTGTAACAGTTTCAGTAAAAAATAGTTCTCTTTTTTAAGTTAAGTTCAAGAATCAATGAGTTCTGAGCAAAAGAAAAACAAAATCTTGGCAACCATGCTTATACAGTTTTACAATCACTGCATTGACCTTTACAGATTTCCATTCCATTATATGATTCCCTATCTCTCTGATATGTGTTAAGCTGTATACTAAGACTATTGGCATAATCCCAGTATTGTTGCTTGCTTTACCAGACAAGCAGCACTGTAACAAATGAGAATGAAAAGTTGTGCCATATGCTTGTGCATTTATTCCCTGGTTAATTGCCTAAACTGAAAATCCCAAAGGAAAAGAGAATATTGTAACTGCATATTTATGAATTGAACTAAACCCTATGGAAAGATGTGGAGCCAGGGTTTCAAAAGCATATTGAACTTGGAGATTGCTTTGGAACCTATTTGAAAAATAAGGACCATTTCTAAGTTGTAAAGAGGAGGGTAATATGCAGAAAGTGTGTCATGGATCCCTGACACTGAACCAGTGGCAACCCTGTAAACATTTTAAAGGAATTCCATTTGGGGCATATGCTAAGTTTTAGACTTTTAGATAACATTTTAAAACACCTTTGATCAAATGTCATACCCCAAGTTACAAATGTTCTGCAAATATTCTAACGTTTTCAATGCAAAAATAATAAGGGGGAGGGGGGCTTTTTAATAGCCTTGCATTTTTTAAAAAATATATTCTGACAGAAAGGTTCCTTTACTTTGTTTTCACCTCTATCCAACCTTTACACTTTGACACTCCCATATCTTATAACAAAAACTATACTTGCCACTATGTATTTTGAATAGTAGTAATTTGCTCTGACTCACCATTTTGTATCAGTTCTGCTAGTGTTCCACTTCTTTATTTGCATGCAGTAGAAGTTCTAATTACCTTAAATCAGGTCATTATTCAGTCTGAAAAGAAAAAAATCTAACACTGTATAATGGAGACCCTTTTCCTTTTTAGGTATAAATTTTTCAACACAGAAGATATGATGGTGCCTGTTGGCGATAGAGCAGATAATATAAAATCTGGATTTTTCTGTGTATGAACATCATCAAGGTTTTTTTAAAAATTCCCAATTCATATAAATTATTAATTTTATTGAGCAGTTAGAGTAAGAGGCACACCTATTAGGACAAGATGAAACCTATGCATGCTTCAAGCTCAATGGAGATTGATGGATGTAAGTCAACTAAACAGGAAATGTTACCATAAAGATGTATATTTTTTTCATAAATCTTATCTCAATTAGTAGAAAAATCTCCCTCTAAAACAGTCTGTAGGTTATCAAGCTAATAGGTTATGCAGAACATTACAAGTTTCTGGCCTCTGACTAACTTCACTTATTTCTTACAGGCAAGCACAACAGTGAATGTACTGTAACAAAACATGAAGACGGGGATGCTTCAGCTAAGAGACAAATTTCTGTAAGTGTGGACTTTAATTAAGTAACATTAGTATGCTGCAAATGTCATTAAGTTTGTTACATCTCACGGCAAACCCAGTAACTTTCAGGGTGTAACAACACTTCTATCAACTTTAGTAATTATAAGCATGACAAAGAATATTTTCAACCATTATTGGCATTAAACACCGATTTTATTAATTTGTACAATCTGTCAACAGCACTTGTTTTGTGTTCTTTTGTTGAAAGTACAAAATATATCGTACATTCGACAAAATAGTGCGTCGCGTAAATCTTCAAATTTAGTAAATAAACATTAAGAAATAGCATAATGACAACTGACTCAACATTTGACCGATGCTAAAAAGTCACAAAATGAATTTCAGTGTTAGAAATGATTGCGTTGCCACTGCGCTTTCGTTTTGGCAGTAAAGGTTACTAATAATCTCCAGCTATATTGTACTTTGAATCCACTTACCATTTCATTAAGGAAACGTAGAAAATATGTCGTGTATTTCCCTAGTGATATTTCAATCAGATTTTTCACCAAAAATTTCACGCATGCTCAGTTATCTCATTTACGGAAAAGGAAAGAAACTAGCATTAATATTAGCGCTTAAACTCAAGATAATCCAAATCCAAAGAATCTTCAATTTTCAATCTTCAATTTTATTAATGAATAAACATTGAGTAAGATCTTTTCAAAACTAAGGTACATATTTGCTTAAGTATCATCAAATTCAACGAAATTGATTTATGAATTAGTAACATTTTTAGCATATATACAATTAATTTCGTTCGTTCATTAACTTAATAAGACCTGTTGTGCAAGTGTGTTGTCAGTGCAACAGGTGAAACGGCAGGGCAATGTTTTTAAAAGTTCACAAGACCAATATTGCGCCCAAGGTAAGTTTGTTAACAGCCCGTTTGGCTGATATGGGCATATTTGAAAGGAAGATTAAGATTAATTCGTGGAATAAATTGATAGATATTGGTTTCTTGCAGACTTGTGTAAATCACAGAGCTGGCAAAGATCCCTTCGATTTTCAAAGTTCGTGTCCGCCTTCCTTTTCCAACTCGCTCTTCACTTCATTACTAAATTGCTTTGGTTGTTTGTATTGTATTGTTTAAATCGGGTATTCGAGGTCACTGTCACGAGGTAAAAACACGTAAAAGCAACACGACGGTGGTCAAAGTGAAGTTGTTGAAATTATATTTGAACATCACATTACTGTACATGTATGCTTGCTTTTAAGAAGTTAACCGGCATTTATAAACTTATAGACTTTATATTCATCTGAATTAGGAGTTTCTTAGTGTGAATATTTACGTCAAGACAATCGTTTTTTTTTTATAATGAAATAAAATATACATGTATAAATGTTCATTTTGGCAGAATTCAGATTTAGGACGGGGGGGGGGGGAGGGGGTTGATATCTCTTTCATAGGAATCAGATGCAAGGGTAAAAATGCTGTTACTTATGCCAAAAAGTATTAAAATATTAGACATTAAATATTAAACGTATTTTGGGTTTAGATATATATCTGTAACAGCTTTCAAAGATTTGCTATGTACCCACCTGCAGTGTTGTCAAAAGACATGTTGGGTTTCATCTCTTAAGTTGTTAATTAAGAGCAGTGCTTGTTAAACCAATCATATTCTAGCCCTTCTTTTATTTTTGATTAACTATCAAATAAATAGATTCATCCCAGCGATTTAAGTTATGAGAAAGAAAAAATGTGAGAAATCCATAATTTAGATAAACAATATAACCACTTATTCTAAGCATATATAAAGCAGAAAATCAGTACAATTATATCCACTATAAGTGCAGTTCATCTAAATACTTTATTGACACACCTTAATATTAGCTTTTTATTTATCTGAAAATCATGATTATTTTAATTATTTTTAAACACAAGTTTGAACAGGGTCTGAGATCCTTGTTTTATAAAAGTTAAATATAGTTCAAATACATGTAATAGACATCGTCTTATGATAGTTGGCGTAATGTCACAAAATTAAAATTTCCATTCCAAACGCAAGCGATTTAGTCTGAAATATTAAAATATCATACCTTGGTAGGTTGAAACTCAAAGGGAAAGTTCATGACAACAGTACAAAAGTGGTTGTAAGGATGTCACTTGCAGCTTAGATCAGGATTCACTACTAGATAGTTAGATGTGCAGTTCATGCACTATTTTAGAATAGTGTTTTTTATGAGAGAACAGTTTCATTAGCTCTGTATGTATCAATTTAAATTATTGTTTTTCTTTTTATCAAGAGCTTATAAAATATGTTATTAAATAATATACCCTAGTCATTTACTCCCTGATTATGGTGACTGACAGTCACAGAAATATTGGAGGTAATACCCACATATTTTATAAGCTCTTGATAAAAAGAAAAACAATAATTTAAAGTGTTTTTTAACTTTCAATTCCAACCTTTTAAATGTCAAGTATTTTTTTTTTTTAGTTTTTTATTTTTATCTGTTGATGTGTTGTTGCATGAAATAGTGGTGAAATGGCAATTTAACTCCCCTTTCCTTTAGGATTGAATGTTTTTTTCAACACCTGGGTTCTTTTTGCATGGGGCCATACACCACACCCCCTCATTATTAAAATTTCAGCTCGTTTTCCTTTGACAGTTTAGTGGGTAATTTGTGTGACCAGGTGAGCATTGATTGATAAGTGTACAGAGTTGTCAGGTCCAGTTTATTTTTGAGAGAAAAATTGTTGGCATGTTCATTAACAGCTCTGTTAGATGGCAGCTGAATAATGTAAGAAAATACCATGTATTTACATAAAGACAGATGCTCAATGAATACAGTTTACTGTTATACTGTACCAAGTGTGTACATTTATTTGTTAATGTGACTTATCTCGATGTACTGCGAACAACAACAAACTTAGAGCAGCTGATATTGATGCAAATGATGAATAAAATATGCTTTCTGTAGGTGTGTGTATATGCCCTCATGTAATTAACTTAGACTAACTGTATTTTTAGACATAGACAGCACTTGCTAGCAATCAGGTGTTTAGAATCAGACCATATTTAACTTTAAGCTGAGGCAGAAAATCCTGTGTGTTCTTATTTTGGAAAAGCTGTCATTTAGGTAAAGTATATGTCAGAGGGAAGAGATATTAATTACCATGTAGTAGATTGTGGGTTGTTTTTATGATAGTATTTATAATCATTTACTGATTTTAAAGATATGATTGACATGTTTACAAGTAGCTAATCAGTGAACCAATCAGTATAAGTCTTAGAGGACATTCAGAACAAGTTAATCTGCGGACTAAATATGGCCCACTAATTTAAAAGCAGCACCAACTAATTCCCTGATGGCCTCTCTGCCTCCGTTAGTGCAGTTGTTGCAGGGGCCTTGCAATTAAACCTCCGAGCTTGGTAGAGGGGAAAGACCATTAGGGGATTAAGTGGTGCTGCTTTAAGTGGGGTCAGCCATATTTTTTGACCAATCTGTAAGTATGCGAATCATCTGTTCTGAATGCGCTCTTAGGGCGTATTCCCAGAGCTTTTAAATCGATCTATCCCCGCGGGGAGTCTCACTAGATTACTGTCAGATAATCCAGTTTAAATGTCCGTCCCGCCTACTTCAAGCTTTAAGGGGGTAATAAACTTTCGTGCCCGCTCGGCTGACAGCTATTTAGCGTGAACCCCCAGGGAGTTGGGTCGATCTAAAGTAGATCGATCTAATCTCTGGGAATGGGGTCTTAATCAACACCTTAAATTAAAAAGACAATTGGGGCCAGTATATTTTTCTTTGGACCAGTGCATTTTTTAGAATGTGTGAATTGAGTGGTTCAGTATGGACATTTTTTCTCAAAGTTTTCAAAAGAGATTTTTAATTTGATTATTTCTTTCTGAAATGTAACTGTTACAAGCTGATTCTATGTTTAAAAAGCATTTGACAAAATCAAGGTCTTGCTATTATTAATATTATCTGGTCTTATTGAAATTTTATGCAGACCAATGAATCCTGATTCAAACCAGTAAATTTTAGGAAAGTTGTGGTCTGAATAGCCAGTAAGCAGAAAAACTTATGACACAGACTGTGAATTTAGAAAGAGAAGAAGAAAAACAGCTAACTAAAGAACAATTCTGGTATAAATTGAAGGCACCATCTTGGCTATTGAGTTTGATTGAAAAAAGCATTTAATATATACTAAACATATATTTATTAAAAGATCTATGTATTTGTATCCCCTACGTTTAATAATTGCTCATTTTCTTCTCTTTATACGAAGTACTAACGTGAATATTTGTAGTTGCTAGTTGATTAGAATGACATTTGATCTTTAAACAATATCCTTAAATGTTAACTGGGCTTAGTTTTACAATCTGCATTTTTTGTATTCAAGGCATGCCTGGGGTCAGACCTTCAGGGGGAAAATAAAGTAGATCTGTATGTTTTTCATTTATGCATACTAAATAAATCTGTAAAATAATGCCCATTTATATGTAGTCAGCGACTAAACTAAAAACATTTCATGCAGGTTCAGAATTTGCATTATATGCTGATAAGCTCATGTTTTTTTTTTCAGTCTCAAAATATTTACTACTATCAAAGACTGAAAAATAAGATTGATAAATGTCCTTTTTTGACAATATATTCATTGTTTTAAACATGAACAATCAAGCATGCATGTGCCAGATGAAGTCTAAATAACCTTGTGTCTAGACTATGATATTGGAGAACAAATAATGTAAATAATGAGTATGTTGTGGAACTTTGTACATTATATTATATTATATTATATTATATTATATTATATTATATTATATTATATTATATTATATTATATTATATTATATTATATTATATTATATTATATTATATTATATTATATTATATTATATTATATTATATTATATTATATTATATTATATTATATTATATTATATTATATTATATTATATTATATTATATTATATTATATTATATTATGAACAAAAGAATATCAGCATTATCACAGATATTTTGGAGTGCCTTATGACAATGCAAATCTGTCCAGCACTGCTTTATTGCCATTGTGGTCTTCATACAGTAGTGTGTATTCAGATCAGAATGGGTAAATATATGGAGGTGAATTATGCTGACGGGGTTATTGTTAAGATGTATTTGTGTAGTAAAAAATACCTAGGCATACCATATTTGCAAGCCTGGTGTAAGAGGAGACAGACTTATTTTTGTGTCTCAGTAAGTTGAGCTTAGGGTCTTGGAGACAAAAAAAGTTGCTGGAAATACATATAATGAGGTAATTTTAAATATACTTTGTTGTCTCATAGACTGTGAAATGATGATTAATTTTTTAATCATTAGTTAACAGATATTTATTATACTGCTTGTTTTTAATGTCAAATGTTCATCTTGTGAACAATTCTGTGACTGTTATCTATGAGAACGCTCAAATAAGCCCATCCTACAAGCTAGATCGATCCAGCTCTGCAGGGATTCTCGCTTAAGTGTAGTCAATGTCTGACACAATCTAAATAGAATGATAGTTTATTGGGAATGGGCCCCAGGTGTGTGGGATAGGGT